CTCAGATCATTTCACGTTTTCATGTTTATTTGTCATTTTTTTAATATGCGTATGCATGTAACTAAAATACAAAATGTTTTTGTTAATGATTATTTGGATATCGTGAGATGCGGTCTGATGTGGCGTAAGTTTAGAAAAGCATTTTGTTTATCGTGCCAACGTTTCGATCTTTCAATTAATTAAGGTTTTAAGTTGAGATAAAAAATTCAGTGTCACGAGCGGGATTCGAACCCACGACCTTCGATACGCCGCTACTTTTGAGATGGGAAGTTAGTGCCCAAGGGGATCGATGTCACGATAGCTCAAGTGGTAGAGTAGCGGCATATCAAGCCGAAGGTTGTGGGTTCGAATCCCGCTCGTGACACTGACTTTTTTATCTCAACTTAGAGCCTTAATTAATTGGTCAAGGGGACCATGAAAAATAGTGAGTTTCGATCTTTATTGAGATCATCTTCAAGGCCTGGGATTTATATTGTTTAAATTATACAAAAACATTTAAGACGTGAAAAAATGAATTTTTACAAAATATTTGTACTCACTCTAAGTGTTGATTTTCAGTATAGATGTGTCACGGTTGTGTGTCGTGTTGAGAGTGCCATTGAGATGATTTTGTTTATATACGTTGGATTTTGAAAGAGTTGGGACAAAAGTAGGAATAGATCATTTTTATATGAGGAGACGGCTTCTTTGAGGTGAAAGGAGCCGACACTGGGAAAAAATATGTAATGGTTCGGCCTGAATTCAGGATTATACAGACGGGGATAATTAGGGAAATGAGAGACAAATTGTTGAAAAATTAAACTATGTATTGTAATGATTATTTTATATGTTTTTATATATATATGTTTATGATAACTGCGGCTGACTTTACATGTGTCTGTCCTGTAATTGATGCTGTGTTTATCTCTGTTGATGTCAACCATTTCTAAAAAGTTACGTTTATGTTTGTTTTGTTCTGTGTGTAAAATTTTTGGATTATTGAAATCAAAGTTGTGTTGGTGTTTAAAATGGCGGGTAGCCGGTGCTGCAGGATTTTTAGGTATTTTTTTAGGGTTGTTTGCCATCATAGATAGTTTGCCTTACCCTCTAATCCAGATATTGGGATGTAATACCGAGTTGCCGAACAATTTATACAATTGATTTTGTAAATTACATCAGACTTATTTGTTACTGGTGTGGGAGCTTTCATTTTGACATCTCACGATCTCCAATTAATCATTAACGGTCACTAAATAGAAGTTTTTGTAAATGTAAAATTAAGCTGATGAAAATTCCTTCTTTGTATATTCTTGGCTTAATTACTGTCGGGATAAGAGTAGCTCAAAGATAAAAAGCGAATATGATTTGTATTCTGTATAACATGGTACACACATCAGTATACAAGGAGCGATTTAACATTCATAGGTTTAAAACTTCCCTTTGATCCTTGGAAGAGCTTTTCCTTTGACTGTTATCCTCAAACACATCCCAGCGCACTCGACACATCATATTGCAATATCCTTCTCTGGACCGTACATTTCCGAATCATCGAAAATATCATCACTCGGAAATATCAAAGAGTAATTGATTATCTTTTATAATTTGATACACGTCTAGATGTAGTTTTTTTTACTTCCCTTTATGTGCGATCTACGTCATGTATTTTTTGAGTATCTGGTCCGGCCTGACAACAATAGCTGAGGGTAGTGAAATCCCGTCATCGATTGATTTCGCCCACTTGAAAACTGATTTGAACCCAGTCCTTACTGCATAACAGAACAAAGAATATGATATTTTAAAAAAACTATTCGGGCAGTATTTATGACACAGATTGTTTTTTTAAACGGAAAACGAAATGTAATACTTATTTTTTATATGCAAACCAATAAGTAAAGAACAATTTTGAATTGAAATATCTTCTCCTTTTATTTTGGCTGTTGTTAATTTCACGTGAAAGGAATATTTTTAAACTTCAACACCTCTTTGTTTTTGTTAATTTTTATTGCCTGTACTTATTTCGGAACCATATAAATCTTCTTCTTTTTTTGAAATATATTATTTTAATGGTTAAATCCCAGTCGACCTCGACAGCCGAATGGAGTGATTATTAAGTTTGACGGGGGCGGAAGAACAATGGCGGCACCGCTTCCCATTTTCGATGCCGAAGTGGTTTCCATTTACGTCCCAATTTAATTGAAGATAGAAGCCGTCAAATGAAGGCGCGGGATATGCTAAGCCGGCACCGCCGTCAGGTCGTGCTCAATGGTCGGGCCCACGCCGCGTCTTCCCTTCGCGAATCCTGATTTATAATCATGTACAACCGTCTTGTCATGTCGAATAGGACAATTAAACTTCATAAACCCCCTATCAGCAAACATTGCTGGAATTAAGCAGCCTTATGGAATGCGTTGAAAGCTTTCGAGGCTTGCACATTAAGAAAACGATCCGATCAAGCCAAGACTCGCCTTAATAAAACGTCCCGAGACCTTTAAAGCAATTATTAATACATGAGAATTTATCGAGCAAAGGTCAAAAAGTATAATAATATCAATTAAGAAACATCCATTATGAAAATTAAGTAAAACGGAAGTGTTAATTATTCGAAAGCAGGAAAGTGAGTTATTTTTTTATTCATAAAAGCCTAAGCTTATCGCCAAGGGTTATAACGAGTTTGAACATGAAACTGTGTTTCTGATTACATTATTTTCTAATTAAATTCTAAGGTTTTTTTTCAATTTATTAAATATTTTAATTGTAAAGGTTTTTTATCCAGGCCTCTTCCCCACTGAGTTGGTCTGCTTGGCATATTTTGACATTTCGCAGTTTTCTATGGTATGCCTGGTTTCAGATCATCCAGGTCTGCCAGACGCTTTTCGTCAATATTTTGTTGCTGGTCCGTGCGATTTTTCGTCTGTCATCTCTCTTTATCGATTTTATATGAACCATACATGGGTCAGTTGCACCAGTCGCGATTAAAGGCGGAAAAAATAAGGTAATTTAAAAAAAAATAAGGTCAATTTATGACAAATAATTTTTCTACTTTTGTATTTTGTTATAGAAATATTTTATATATTTTAATGGTGCATACATCGTTAGAAAGCTACTTTCCACTTCATTTAAACGGTGTGTTTGACGTTAGCATAAATACCGTTTTTGAATTACAATGTTTCAATCAGATATTCCGATGATGATTTTTCAACAATCGAAAAAATTTTAGGGGTAAAAAAACTCAAAAAAACCACAACCAGTTTTTATCCATACCGTTTCGGATTTATTTTAATCCTTCCTCAGGTCAGTTAACACAATGGTTCAAGCAAAAAAAAAAAAAAGCCAATATGGTAGATATCTCTTTCAGACTCCGATTTTTTTTTTTTTTTTTTTTTTTTTAATAAACTGTTATAAAATATTAATACTGACGACCCCTACTTGAACCATTGCAAAACTGGTTGTGCTTTTTTGAGATGACCTATTATCCCACCATCAAAAAGGAAAAATCGTAAGTTAAACTGTTGAAGTCGAAATATAAGAAAACATCGGTAAAAAAAATCGATAGATTTAAATCCAAACAAAAGTTTATATTTAGGGATCTCTAAAGGTGCTGAAACGCTATTTCATATTAGTTTAACGAAAAAAAGACCTAGTGTACTTAAAAAATATTTAGTTTTTAAAAATTTTTGGTTATTGATAAACTTTGATAGCTTTGTGTAGAGATTAGTGACCGTTAATCGATAGTTATTCAGATATCGTGAGATGCGGTCGGGTGTGATGTAGGTTTCAGAAAAACATTTTCTTTATCGTGCCAACGTTTCGATCTTTTATTGAGATCATCTTCAGGGCTTATCCACATCCTAAATGTATTTGTTAAATGTAAACATTGTTTGTAAATCCCAGGCCCTGAAGATGATCTCAATAAAAGATCGAAACGTTGGTACGATAAAGAAAATGTTTTTCTGAAACCTACATCACACCCGACCGCATCTCACGATATCTGAATAACGTTGATAGCTTTATTTTTGTTGGTATATTTTTATGAAAATCTACATAAAAATGCAATAAAATTATATATTCACATAGTTGGTTTGAATAAGTAAACAAAAACTATTAAAAAAATGCATTAGCAAAAAAAAGTTAGCATATTTTTAACCATTTTTGAATTATAGCGTTTCAATCACATATTCCGATGATGACCTCCCAAAAATCGAAAAAAAATTCAGGGGTAAAAAAATCTATAGATTTAAATTCAAATAAAAATTTATATTTAGGGATCTCTAGAGGTGCTGAAACGCTATTTCATATTAGTTTAACGAAAAAAAGACCTAGTTTACTTAAAAAATATTTAGTTTTTAAAAATTTTTGGTTATTGATAAACTTTGATAGCTTTATTTTTGTTGCTATTTTTCTATTAAAATCTACATAAAAATGCAATAAAATTATATATTCACATAGTTGGTTTGAATAAGTGAACAAAAACTATTAAAAAATGCATTACAATATACAAATTTTTGTTTGGAGAAACTAGGGTCTATTCACAAAAAGTGGCGTATTCGTGTCCAATATTTTGGAATGTAGAATCACCAAACAAGTCCAAATCCGTGCCCCACCAACCTCGTTAGTTCAATTATAATGTTTAAGGGGATTTATTGATTTTTACCAAGGTGAAAATTAGAATTTTTTTAAAATAAATTTAATTTTTGTTAGTTTATGGTAGATTAAGTTTAATCTGGATAGCTTTCTTATTTTTTTGTAGTTTCTTCGTTTTGACACGATAAATTGGATATATGAATTTGTTTTTAATTAAACGTATAGATGTGTGATTATTTTTAAGTAAATTTTCTTTGCCATAAATTGCGCTGACTTTATAATTAACCTTTAAATTGGGAGAGAGATGTGTAGTTGTATTGGGAGAGATATAGTTTATTTTATCATTGAAATCCAAACTCTTTTCCTCCAGAAATCTCTCGCAGCTTTTTATTCAACCACTTGACTTGCAATGGGTCAAGGTAAGAAAAAAATAGGCTTACCTTTTGGAGGCGCCGTGCTGACGAAACTTCTGCTCGCGACAAGGAGACACACCCATAGTGTTGTCCAACCCTGTCCTATCATTTTCTTATCTAGAAAAGAAAAAAACAACTTTTGTACAATTTTAATTTCATCAAATTAATAAATAGGTTATGTGTATAAAACAAAAAATGTCACGGATGTTAGATTAGGGGCGACGGATTTGCCATCTGAGGAAGCCGGCATAGTCAAGAGTGATATACGCTTAAAATGATGACTGGGTTGCCGCTAATCCCGTTTTAGTTCCAGCCCATTGCCTCAAAACTGTTGGACCGGCAACTTCTTTGCCTTTATCTAAGGCAGACCACCGTGTAATGGGACACCCGGTTCATTTTACCGATTAGCAAAACTCCGAACCGAGCAATAAATATGTTCGTGTGTCTCTCCGCGCGTGATTGTGTTATATTACTTGTGAAGTTCTAAGTTTTTAAATAAACATACCATAATTTGATCCGTTTTATTGATTTGTGAGGAAAATTATGCATGTTTTCATGTTTTCTTGCCCTTACCCCTTGTATAATAAATTGTTTACGGTCGGTGGCTTCTTCTTTTGTACGAATGTCAACACTTTTTAATTCTCTTCCAAACAAAAATGTTTTACTTTAATAGCATTTTGTTACCTGGGAATAATTCAGTCTTTACCAAAATGTCAACGCGTATTTTTGCGTAAACTCAGTCGAAACTGGGCCGAAACGGTCAAAAGCATTAATGGGAAATTTGGTGTGACGTAGGTTTTAGAAAAACATTTTCTTTAACGTGCCAACGTTTCGACCTTTATTGATATCATCTTCATGGCTCAAAGTTTGTGTTCCGTGTAGATGTGTCATTCTTGTGTGTCTGGGCACTCTCAACACGTCACACAAGAATGACACATCTATACGGAAAACAGACACTTTGAGCCCTGATGATTTTTCAATAAAGATCGAAACGTTGGCACAATAAAAAAAAAAGGTTTTTCTAAAACCTACGTCACACAGACCCCATCTCACGACCTCCAAATAATCATCAAGTAACGTTCACTAAACACCACACACTAATGGGAAGTCTGATGCAATGGCAGAGTGTGTGAGGGCACTGTTCAGAGATAGTTTAAACAATTTCGAGAGGCAGACTTTAGCCTGAAAGATAAAGAAAGTCGTGGAAGGATTTCTTTCCTTGATGATTTGATGGTGAGCTTTGGTCGAAGAAAATCTCAGAACAACTGTTGAAGAAGTTGCAGAGAATCTTTCAGTTAGCATATCGACCATCGCTGACCACCTTAACTCAATTCGAAAAGTGAAAAAGCTCGAAAGTTGAATTCCTCATGCATTAAACGACCGCCAAAAAAATGAACGCTTTGAAATTTTTTTTCAATTAATTAATTTTTATGTAAGGTATTGGTTGAGATAAAAAAAGCCCGTGTCACTAGCGGGATTCGAACCCACGACCTTCGGCTAAATACGCCGCTACTCTACCACTTGAGTTATTTACGAATGACTTTCGATCCACTCGGACACCCATTTTTTTAAATCTTTTATCACATGACATTTTTATCATTGCTGTTTGTTTATATGAAAAAAATTATTTATCTAAATCTATCTACAAATAATTCCATTGTCAACGCAGGGATTCGAGCCCAGGACCGTTATCGTCTCAATTACAATCCGGCAGTCGCCTTAAAATAAATATTGATTATGTTCTAAGGGTGACTTTGTGGGGACGGCAACGACTTCGGCAATTTCAGCCATAAACGGGTTTCTGACCCTGGCTTTCCGATAAAAAGGGCTAACATTCCGATTGGAGGCCGTTTCCTACTTACAAGGACCCGATTTCAGTGCTCAGCGGGCGGTTAAAGGGCGTTTTTTGTTATTTGTAAAAGGGATCGCACTAGAAATAAGACCGTTCCATTCCGCCAGGGCTTTCGTGCTGCGAATGTAATGAGCATGCACTCCCCGGCCGAGGATCAGCCACTCATGAATCATAAACCGTCGCGATATGCTAAAATACGCCGAATCCGACTCTTTTTGTACTCTCGCCTTTTCAGAAGTCCCACTTACTTGCATTCCAAATTGTAAAGAAAATAAGGCAGGAATAAGGTTTATTTCCTTATCAAAAATCAATAAGTTTTTTAAATTGTATAATAATATAATAATAATATTGCTTTATTAAAACAAAATTAAAACTCTTCGTTATACTAAAGAACAAAAGCATTACGGACATGGATCGTCCGATCCGTCTGCGAGAGGTCATTGGTTTACAAACATATATGCAGTTTAGAGAAGAAAGAGAGAAGAATTGAAAAAAAAAGAGAGAAAAGAAAAAATATACAAAACAATAAAATCAAATAAAATACAAAATACTAAATGCGCAATACAAAAAAAAAGTAAACAAGCGAACTAGTATTAAAAATGAAGTCTATATCCAAAATGTTGATGGCTTCATAACAATGAAAGAATAAAACTTAAAAATTAAATTCTTGAATCAATTCGTATCTGTAGCTCCAAGCATGTTTAGCATACCGAATAAAGCGTCGAAAATTTGTGAAAAATAAACTCAAGAACCGCAATAGCTTACTTCTTGGGAGAGCCAAACAACCAAGGTGTAAGAACCGAATCTCACCCAAAATCGAGCACTCCACCAAAAAGTGAAACAGTCTCGACGGAACTAGAATTGCATAGGGAGCATATACCCAAGTTACCCCTATTTCACACTGCTGAATTTATATGTAAAACCTTACATTTCAGCTTAAAGTTGATTGAAGTATGCGGGGTACTACTGTGACTCATCATTGTAAAGGTTCCGGGTTCGAATCTTAGTGACCCTGCGGTCAAAAGTACTTAAAAATTCACTAATTTCGTGGTCCGCTCGACCAATTTATATATTACAATTAATTAAGGTTTTTAGTTGAGATAAAAAAAGTCAATGGCACGAGCGGGATTCGAACCCACGATCTTCGGTTTGATACGCCGCTGCTCTACCACTTGAGCTATCGTGACCTCGATCCACTCGGACACCAACTTCCCATCTCAACCGCACCTTTTGAATTTTCCCTCCTTTTTGCCATTTTTCAAATGTCGTGTAATCGGATTGGATTCTCGACGACAAATGAAATGGCCACGGACAGCTTTAGTGAAGTATACTTCATTTTAAATCATTAAATTCACTAATTTCGTGGTCCGCTTGACCAATTTGAAAAATGACAAAAAGGAGGGAAAATTCATAAGGTGCGGTTGAGATGGGAAATTGGTGTCCGAGTGGATCGAGGTCACGATAGCTCAAGTGGTTGAGCAGCAGCATATTTAGCCGAAGGTCGTTGGTTCGAATCTAGCTCGTGCCATTGACTTTTTTATCTCAACTAAAAACCTTAATTAATTGTAGTACTTAAAAATCTTAATCCTACTTAAAAAAATACAATTATGAGGAAGAAGAGCAACAAATCATTTATGCCTTAGGAAAAAAATCATAATTATCCAGAATCTGTAAGAAAATTAATTGCTTGCTAAAATTATTTATTTACTTACATGGCAAGAAAGTACTGTCATTTTTCAGGAATAATTAGCTCAATATTTACATTTTTTGTGTATATTATTTTCGATTACAAATACGCTTGTTTAATCCATAAATTAAAAGGCTTTAATTCGCCTTAGTTTTTGTTTTCAATTTCTTTAGTTGTGTAGAATAATTTAATAGGTAATCATGTCTTTAGATTTAACGCATTTAAGCCATTATTTACTTTATGAATTCCAAAAAGGGAACAATGAACTGTGGCATCCGAAAATGTCTGTAGAGGGTTTAATAGTAAACCCGTGAATGTTCGTTAAGTTCAACGGTAGTTTGTTCCATTTAGAGAAGGAAATGTTGTTCTTGAAGATGATACGCTCAGTGGACGTACTTCGGAGGTGGACGATGACATATTGAGGCATAGGCTAACAGAAAATACCTTTCTGAATAACCATTGAAAAACACATCCAATGACTTGGGTTTGTTCATCACATGGAATTTGGCGGATTTCATTTTGCTCTTCACTCCTCTGTAGTAACTATTACGACCCGTTGCTTCATAGATTGGCAAGAGGTATGAAAATTGGATCACATACAAAAGCATAGTCCGCAAGAAAGCTTATTGCCAACCCGCTCAACGGCTCCTAGTTGTTCCCACACGACAAATGCACCAACCACTGTGCATTTTTTTGGGATAGGTCCGGCACTTTGCATTTTGTGCTTTTATCACAAGGGAAAACTTTTAATTGTTAACTGTACTGTGAGCAGTTAGCCCGTTGAGCCTTTCAAACAAAACAAAAACCGCCTGCACTAGCAAACAAAAAAGGTGTCGCCGCGACAACGCCGCCCCCCACGTTGCTTAGACGGCCAAACAAATATTATCTAATCCGAATTGACAAATTTGATCACACCCGATCATTTCACATTGCGATTACTATTAATAAAATAGCCAAAAATTTTAAAGTTTTGAAAGTGTTCAAACGTTTCTGGACTCAAAAGTTGGGAATTTTATGCAAAATGAATAGTCGTGCTACCTGAAACATTGCATACATCTCCGAATAGTTAAAAATATGCTAGGTATATAAAATATACATATTTATATATACTGTAAAAAGTCGAAATTTTATTGCCAACCTAATAGCTGTGTAAAAACCGTGTTAAATTAAATTACTCATTAAGAGAAATTGTTTAACATTTCTATTATTTAATAATTTGGTCATCGTTAGACTATTGACAGCGGTTAAATCAAATCAATAGTAATTGACTATGGTCAGCCGATTCCTGCTATTGGACCGAATCCAAATGTGGTTCGGTTTAAATCAATTACATTCAGAAAAACTACAAACTTATTTTCATAAGTTCCAAAATATGTATTATGTTTTAGAGGGTTTTTGAATGATGTATCTAATAAAAATATGATTGATGTAAATATATCATTATTTGGTGATGAACTTTTTTAAATTTCAAATAAGGTCAACAAAAAGACAAGCGAATTTGCCGGTTTTGTTTTATCTATTTGTTCAGTGATGCATTTTTCTTCATTATACAACAAACTAAAGCACTAACAACAAAAT